CACATGTGTCACCTCTCTTGTGGGAGCTGTGCTGGCTGCCAACTTGCTCCTGAGTTCTGTTCAAGGTGTTGGTTGTCTATAAAGCCTTACATGATCTGGGGCCAGGTTATTTGAAGGACTGCCTTTCCCAAGTTGTATCTACCTAGCCATGGATGTTATGAGTTACCTCTCTTAAAGAGGTCAATCTGGTGGGATGTTTCCTCTCTTCCATGGTGGTTCCCTCCCTGTTTAACATCATCCTTACAGAAAGAAGATTGGCCCTCACCTTGATACTCTTTCAAAAGGTCCTGAAGACCTTTGGGGGATCCCAGAGTAATATGGAGCCCATCAAGTGGTTGGTTTGATTGTTGCCACAAAGGGAGGATGAAGGTTTATTGGATTTTGTATTGAGCTTTTATTTCTATAAGCTGCCAGGAATGACCATGAATGAGTTGGGCGGCCATATAAATTCTTGTAAGAGCTATTAACCAGGATATTGAGAGTTATTGAGTTATTGAGGTGTATTTTGTGTTTTGGGGGGGGGGGGGGGCTGCACCAAGGGAGGCGCATTCAATTTCATTGTACACATTGTACACATGTTGTGCATTGGGTTTGATTCAGGGGTGAAATTCAGCAGGTTCTGACAGGTTCTGGAGAACCGGTAGCGGAAATTTTGAGTAGTTCGGAGAACCGGCAAATACCACCTCTGGCTGGCCCCAGGGTGGGGTCAGAGATTTTGCAATATCCTTTCCCTGCCACACCCACCAAGCCACACCCACCAAGCCACGCCCACACCCACCAAGCCACGCCCACAGAACCGGTAGTTGAAATTGGAATTTCACCGCTGGTTTGATTTATTGGGCAATAAAGATTTGATTTGATTTGATTTGATCATCTTTAAAAGATGTCAACTATCAGTCATGATCCAAAGGTGAAAAAAATCCTTGGTTTCGTAGGTGAAGTGCTTTGAATCATCAGGAAGTGCTCTCTAGGTAAACAGCAGCAAGATCATATACTACAGTCACATTACCACTGCAAAAGACCCAAGTTCAAAGTTCGGATGATGGCACTATTCTGACTTCTCTCCCTCACTTCCAGGTGCATCCCAGCCATAAAGTGTGCCAACCTGGAAGCCTTGAAATGAAAAATCTGAGGTTCCCCTGACATTTCAGCCCATTTCATTTGGGGAGGAGGAGGGGTTATGACATGCATGTTTCAAATATGAGCGGGCCTTTTAAACTCTATCTAACTACCTGTAGTGGGGGGCGCAATGGCTCAGCAGTTACAGATGCTCAGCTGGAAAGCTGGCAGCCCGGGTTTGAGTCCCAAGCGCCAGACAATGGGGTAAGCTCCCATCCTTGCCCCAGCTCCTACCCACCTAGCAGTTTGAAAGCATGCAAATGCAAGTAGACTAATAGGTACCACTTTGGTGGGAAGGTAACAGCATTCCATGCATCTTTGGTGTATACTCATGCTGGCCACAAGACCACAGAAATGTTTTCAGTCACTGCTGTTTCCCTCAGCTAAGAAGCAGAGATGAGCACCGGCCTCTAGAGTCGGGGGGAAAGGGGGAAACCTTTACCTTTAGCTGCCTATAATCTATCTCATGTTAATGATGGGACCCATATGATGAATATGTTTGCACGCACAGGGAGGAGTGGAATAATGAAAACAGCATCACACTGATGCAATGCAAGCATTGTCCTTTTAGTACACACTTCAGTACACACAGCGCACATATATAGAAGGGGCGGAGCTTATGTGCCATGTTGACGAAAGCGTTAGATCCTGTAAATGGCTTTGCCTACCAATTTAGGCATCGTCCTTAAACCTGCAACTGGTAAGGTTTGTTCCTAGATAAGAAAGTGTATCCCAGAGATGAATAATTTTCAGAACTGCAGGCACTGGTAAATAGTTTCTTTGGAGTAGCCTCCAACTCTATTACAGGTAGACCTTCACTTAGACCACAGTTGAGGTGATCCGTAATATAGCTTTGCCCCATGGCATGTGGGGCTTTAAAGATCAAAAACAGTGCCTTGAATTGGACCGAGAAGCAAACTGGTAACTAGTATGAGCCACGGCAGCACAGTGGTTAGAGTGCAGTACTGCAGGCTACTTCTGCTGACTGCTGGCTGATTGCAATTTGGCAGTTCGAATCTCACCAGGCTCAAGGTTGACTCAGCCTTCCATCCTTCCAAGGTGGGTAAAATGAGGACCCAGATTTTTGTTGGGGGCAATAGGCTGACTCTGTAAACCCCTTAGAGAGGGCTGTAAAGCAGGGGTGGGTTCTAAAATTTTTTACTGCCAGTTCTGTGGGCGTGGCTTATTTTGTGGGTGTGGCTTGGAGGTCATGTGACTAGGTGGGCATGGCTAGCTGGTCAGTCATTTCTGGAAGGTCCTCGCACTTACGACTAGTCCTCGCACTTACGACCCGACTCATTTGTTTGCTTTTAACACTGATCAGCTGTAGGACGGCCCTTTGAAGCCCCGCAACAAGAGTTTAAACAGTTTTTTTCCCTCTAGTCATCAGCTGGGACTCAGGAGGCAGCAATAGATTGGGGGTGGGACCAAATAAAAGATAAGAATAACGTGGGTGGGTGGAGGGGGTGGGAGGGCGGGGGGGAGAACCGGTTTGGTGACGTCATATCGTCACCGCTACTGGCCTGGCCGAACCGGACCGAACCGGGAGGAACCCACCACTGCTGTAAAGCCCTGGGAAGCGGTATATAAGTCTCAGTGCTATTGCTATTGCTATTGCTATATCCAGGCCTGAATCCCGACTGAAAGATGAGTGATTCCTAACATTCAACTAAATGCATCTTCTTGTACTTTAGAAGCTTATCCTGTATTTTGCTTATTGAAGGAGTAGTCAACCGGATTTAGTATTATTCTGGGTGATATCCCTTCACAAAATCAAATAATGCCATTTCTTCTTCTGTCTTCTATTCTCCAGATTAAATGCTTCATCTGGTGATCTGCGGCAGAATCTTTCCAGGTATTCAATATTAAACTGATGGTTTGTGTCTCTCTGCTTTTTTCGTCCCTTTTTGAAGACATTTTCTGTCTTCCAGTTACCTGGGTCATTTCAACATTTGTCCAAGATAATACAAGGATATTTAGTGAGACCATCAACAAGCCCCTATAAGTATTATCTGATACAATTCATCTGGCTTGGAGATTAAACTCATTCGAAGCTTAAATGTATTGTAATCCCCTTTTATCAATCATCAGCAGAGGTGGTATTCAGCTGGTTCAGACCAGTTCGGGCGAACCGGTAGTGAAGATTGCGGGTGGGCACAGCCCCGATGCTATGCCATTCTATTTAGCCACGTTTTTGAGGCCAGGCGTATGTGCGGAAGGCACGCGCGCGAGCAAAGCACATGCACAGAAGGCTGGGTGCATGTGTGGAAGGTGCATGCACGAAGCGAGTGTGTGCACACATGGCGAACCAGTAGTAACAGTATATGAAATCCACTCTGATCATAAGCTTCCCTCCTGCTCTTCACGATGGCCACCTGGACCACATACATGCACTCTTGTTGAAGAAGACTGATCCCAAAATAGGACTTTAGTAGCTCTCCCTTTTCTTTACTTGTTAGTGATTTGCCATCTTTGCTGACCACCTGGCAAACTGATCCTTTGGGATTCTTTTAATTTTTTAGATATTTGTGTCAACCATAACATCCTTGGGCAACCTTTACGAACTGTGAATTTCAGCCACCCAGACACTATTACAGTCAAGTGAGGTAATCCTTGGGTAACCCTTTCCTGTTGACATAGCATCAGTGAAAGGTCAAGCAAGAGAAAATATTTGCCATGCAGTCCTCATACCACTGAATCTGTTGTAGGCCAGCTGTTTGTTCCAGTGTAGAGCTAGCTCGTTCCCCAATAAAACCTTGTTTTATAAATCAAGTTGGTACTGTACAGTATTAGGGCTGGTGAAGTTAAGCCAGTTCTTTTTGGATGAGAATAAAATGCAGAATTCAGAATAACAGAGTTGGAAGGGACCTTGGAGGTCTTCTAGTCCAACCCCCTGCTTAGGCAGGAAACTCTACCCCACTTCAGACAAATGTTTATTCAATCTCTTCTTTAAAACTTCCAGTGTTGAAGCATTCACAACTTCTGCAGGCAAGTTGTTCCACTGATTAATTGTTCTAACTGTCAGGAAATTTCTCCTTAGTTCTAAGTTGCTTCTCTCCTTGATTAGTTTCCACCCATTGTTTCTTGTCTTGCCCTCAGGTGCTTTGGAGAATAGTTTGACTCCCTCTTCTTTGTGGCAGCCCCTGAAATATTGGAACACTGCTATCATGTCACCCCTAGTCCTTCTTTTCATTAAACTAGACATACCCAATTCCAGCAACCGTTCTTTATTTATTTCAGCCCCCAGTCCCCTAATCATCTTTGTTGCTCTTCTCTGCACTCTTTCTAGAGTCTCCACATCTTTTTTATATCGTGGTGACCAAAACTGAATGCAGTATTCCAAGTGTAGCCTTACCAAGGCCTTATAAAGTGATATTAACACTTCACGTGATCTTGATTCTATCCCTCTGTTTATGCAGCCTAGAACTGTGTTGGGTTTTTTTGGCAGCTGCTGCACACCGCTGGCTCATATTTAAATGGATGTCCACTAGGACTCCAAGATCCCTCTCACAGTTACTACTATTGGGCGAGGTACCACATATACCGTACCTGTGCATTTTGTTTTTCTTTGCTAAATGTAGAACCTTACATTTTTCACTATTGAATTTCATTTTGTTAGATTTTCTATTTTCCTCACAGCAGCAACCTGGTGAGTTGGGTTGGGCTGAGAGACAGCAACTGACCCAAGATCACATCTAGCCAACATTCGTGCCTAAGACAGGATTAGAACTCACAATCTCCTGGTGATTGTCCCAAAGTGCCCCAGCCAGCTTTCATGCATAAGACAGAACTAGAACTCCAGCCTCCTGGTTTCTAGGCCAGCACACTATACCAAACTGGTTCGTCATGAAAGTGAAATACCGTCACAAAATGACCATTTATTCATTTATTATATTTGTTTATTTATTTACATTTATTACATTTCTATACCATAAGTCACTCTGAACAGTTTACCACCACATCATAAAACAATTTAAACATATGGTTAAAAACATGGTTAAAAACAGAATTAAGAACAAGGTTAAAATTTACAAATTAAAAGAGAAAATCAAAGTTTAAAGAACTTAGGTTAACAAGGCGGAGGGAGTGTCCCTAAGCCAATCCCTACCCCTACCCCTAGGGCTGCATCATCCTTTTAGACTCCTGTGCTCATTGGCAGAGCCAGGTCTTAACCCTCTTCCAGAAAACCAAAAGCATTGGGGCTCCTTTTGCCTCTGGGGATTAACATGCCCCAAAGTGTGGGCAACAGCAGAGAAGGTCTCCTACCTCATAGGTAGGAAACATAGGTAATCCAAATCAACAAACAAACCTAATGAATATCAAGATAAACAACAATGAGAAGATAACATAATGATGCCTGAAGACAATCCATTCCACCACATCACCATAACCATGCTAAAGAAAGCCACAGTGATGGTCTCACCCAACCTGTAGGTCCCATCTAACTCTTCAGTGATTTACAAAATGCCAGCAAATGAATTGAGGTATGGTGTTCTGGAGAACGGGCATTGCAACAGGCCCAGGAGATGTTTTGGGTCATCCTTGGTCATAGCAGTGTTGATGGAGCCAAGGTATCACTGGTCTGGAATAATGTAGACATCATCTACTGCTTCTGGTATAGACTTCCCAGTATAGTTGTAATATAATTCCTGAGTATTGGCGTAGACGGGCTGATGGCCTTCAGCAGAATCACTGTTCTCACTTTTCGATGGAGACCTGAGGGCCCAAAATCCCCCAAACAAAAAAGATTATTATCATGTCCCCCCCATGGAATCATTTTGATCCTCCTCTCATTTTTGATCCGATACAGTATGTATTATTGTTTTAAATTGTTTATTTTCCTTTGGAGACCATTTTGAGGGCTTTTAAGGGAGCTATTATAATAGCAAATGTATTCATTATGCACCTGTAACTAAACACAGTCTAGACATAGAATTAAAAACTGCAATTAATATTAAAAGCATAATACAAAGAGATGTTAAATCACATTATGAAGTAAGAAGTCTTTAGAGGAGTGTAGAACTTTTAAGATGTGTGGACTTCAACTCCCAGAATTCCCCAACCAGCTCGTTGAAAAACATTGGCCCTAGATCAAATGAGTCATGATATAGAGAAATCAACTTCTTTACATTCAAATTAATGAGTAATGTAAAACAAAAACAAAAAAACTAGAATGGCCAAAAAAATGAAGCTCTCTGTGAAGCCATTAATATTTAAAATTAAAGAAAATTTGAATGTACAGTTGTTCAGAAAGATTCTTGTGAAATAACCACTGTCAACCATTCAGTCTGTTTTCTTTTCCCTCTCTGGCAAGTATCATAAAACATTTTAAACTACTGCCTGCAGTTTGGCAGTTTGAATCTCACCGGTTCAAGGTTGACTCAGCCTTCCATCCTTCCGAGGTCGGTAAAACGAGGACCCAGAGAGTTGGGGTCAATATGCACTGTGAAGTGTTATATAAGACTAAGTGCTATTGCTGTCTGTCTGTCTGTCTGTCTGTCTGTCTCTATCTATCTATCTATCGGGGGGAGGTTTTTTTAATGGATTCTACCCATACGCTTGGAAGATATACAATATATTCCAACTTATCTCACCTTTAAGCTCCCTGCAGGACTAATTATTTTCCAAATTATCTTCTTTCCTCTGCTAATGACAAGAAATGCATTTTTATCCCATTTTGAAGCTTGCCATCTGCAATTCATCATGGAGAGAAGCTTCTCACATTTCCCAAAAAGTGGAAAGGTGCTTCACCCTCATTTAAAAATAATGGGGAGAGACAACATATGTTCAGAAAGCATTATGGTGTTCATGAAAAGCTAATTATTTCTTTGGGTGTATATGGATTTCTTTTATTTGGTGTCTGCCTATATTTGAATAGGTGTTTCAAGTTGTGCAACAATTATTATTTATTAAATTTCTAACTGGCCACGTCCCTGACACAGCGACTTTTGATGGCTTATAATATAATAAAAACTTAAAGGCTTTTTCGTAAAGCTTTCAAAATCCGGCTATGCACCTGAGTCTGGGGCGCTACATGCACCAAGGGCCCCACCTCCTGGCTATATTGTTAACAGGCCAGACAGACGCCTTTGATTTGTATATATTCCAAATTACAGGTTTTAATGTTTTTACTGTTTTAATGCTTTTTACCGTTTTTATTGCTTTAAGATGTTTGTAAGATTTTAATTGTAATACATGTTTTGAATTAAGAGCCACCCAGAATTGTTTTGCTGAGACGAATGACTATAGAAGTCAAACAAACAAACAAATACTAAATAAATAAATAAAATTAGAAAAAAAATTGAGTAGAAAAGTTAAAAACCTAGATGTTGGGCAGCCTGGGGATCTTCTCCACCTGGTCGGCCGCCCCCAATGTAGCAGTCCTCTGTTGAGGTCCCAGACCAAGTAGCAGAGCCAAGGATTTTCTCCTGGAGCAGGCCAGCCAAAATTCTTTGGCCGAAGTAGGCCCTTTCCACTGAAACGAGTGGAGCGGGCTACTCCCATCAGGGCCAGACGGTTCCTCAGATAACCTGGATCCATGCCAGGAAGGCCTAAACGATGCTAGGCCTCTTGCGCGATTTTAGTTGAAGACATGTCAAGGGCTTTCACTGGAGGGGCAGGCGATGGAGGAAACTCTTTCAGAAACAAAATCTGTTTTTAAGACTGGTTTTTGACATTTAGGGCAGGGATAAAAATATAAGAGCCTTGGTAGTACAGTGGTCTAAGGCACCCTGTTATTAAGCTGGTTATTAACACCAGCTGTCTGCAATTACTGCAGGTTTGAATCTCGCCAAGGCTCAAGGTTGACTCAGCCTTCCATCCTTTCTAAGGTAGGTAAATTGAGGACCCAGATTGTCGGGGCAATAAGCTGACTTTGTATAAATATACAAAAGAATGAAGGCTATTGCTTAGCGCATTGTAAGCCGCCCTCAGTCTCCGGAGAAGGGCGGCATATAAATCAAATTTAAAAAAAAGAAAAAAAAAAGAGGCCCACTAGTTCAAATAAAAAAGCCCTGCCTAGTCTAGTATTTTAACTCCATAAATTTATTGTCAGAAGAAGACTGTTCCTATACATAAAACTTCCATGCCTAAGAGTGTTTGACAGGCACACCCTAATTCATAAGAATTCTACCAATTAATCAGTGGAACAACTTGCCTCCAGAAGTTATGAGTGCTCCAACACTGGAAGTTTTTAAGAAGATGTTGGATAAGCATTTGTCTGAAGTGGTGTAGGGTTTCCTGCCTAAATAGGCAGGGGGTTGGACTAGAAGACCTCCAAGGTCCCTTCCAACTCTGTTATTCTGGTTTATTCTATGTTATGCTATGTTAACATAACTCCACAAACTCCGCTGAAGATGTTACCTCGCCTGATAATGAGCTAGGGAAACCAACCCACAAGCTCGGAGAACGAGCCTTCGCCCTCATCCTGCACCTGAGCTACAGATATTCGCCACTATTGCAATGTTATGTTATGTTAAAATTTTGCTTGCGACAGAGGCCAGTCTGATGCCGCTGGCCTGAAAGGCATGAAAACGGCCCGATTCAATGAGAGGCGGTCATTGAAACACAGTGCCATTTTTCTGCTTAAAGATAGTTCCTCTCATTCCACTTTTGCGACCTTCTGATGAGCAAAGTCAATGGGGAAGCCAGATTCATTTAACAACCGTGGTATTAATTTAACAACCACAGTGATTCACTTAACAATGGCAGCAAGAACGACTCAAAAGATCTGTAAATCGGGGCAAAGCTCACTTAGCCACTATCTTGCTTAGCAACAAAAGGTTGGAGCCTTCTCTGTGGGGGCACCTATGATCTGGAACGAGCTCCCCTGGAGATACGGAGGATCCCGGATCTGCGCACCTTCCGTCGCGCGCTTAAGACTTTTTTATTCCATCAAGCTGGCCTGGCCTAAATCTTCTCCCCTTTTGTAAATGTAAATTTTAATTTGTTTTAAATTATGGGGTATTTTAAATTCAGCCAAATTATTTAATTCGTTTTTAATTTATTTTAAATTTTTGTATTTATGTGTTTTATCTTGTGGCTGTTCACCGCCCTGAGTCCTTCGGGAGAAGGGCGGTATAGAAATTTAATAAAATAAAATAAATAAATAAATAAAATTTTGATCGTAAGCCGAGGAATACCTGTAATGGCCACCCACTATATCGATTGGGGAAGCTAATGATTCAGGCAGCAGAACAGCAGCCTGAAAATCCTCTGTGGTAGACTATTTTAAGCACAACTGAAGAAGCACATTTCTGCCCAGGAAGTTGCTGCTGGGAACAAGGCGTAGGGTTTCATTGGGGACTTTCTCCATTCCTTTTCCTGGCTATTACTCAAAGCAGAGAAAAACGGGGTGGGGGGAGAGAAAGAGGGAGAGATTGCCCAACCGGAAATTAGTTAAGAGAAAAAGCTGAGAAACACATGACCTGTGTATGCTGGCACAGCTCGATGACTCTTAAAAAAAGCTTTCTAAAACGAATGTTTGCAGTGGGCATTTCTAACTGTAATGGGCTGTGAGAAGAACCTTGGGAGTCAGGAGGAAGAGCTGCAACCAAGTCAATTGTCAGACTTGGGTCAATTGAGACTCTGGAAAGAATTCAGAGAAGAGCAAAAAAAATGATTAGGGGCCTAGAACATATGAAGCACGATTGCAGGAACTGGGCATGCCTAGTATAGTGAAAAGAAGGATCAGGGGTATCAGTCCTCCAATACTTGAAGGGCTGCCACATGGAAGAAGGGGTCAACCTATTCTTCAAAGCACCAGAAGGCAAGACAAGAAACAATGGATGGAAACTAACCAAGGAGAGAAGTAACCTAGAATTAAGAAGAAAATTCCTAACTGTGAGAACAATTAACCAGTGCAACAACTTGCCTCCAGAAAATGTGGGCGCCCCATCACCGGAGGCTTTTAAGAAGAGACTGGGTAGTCATTTATCAGAAATAGTATAGGTCTCCTGTGAGTGCAAGGGGTTGGACTAGGAGGGGAAGCCAGATTCGTTGAATGATGAAATGATTCGCTCAACAACTGCAATGATTTACTTAACAACAGTGGCAAGAAAGGTCATAAAACGGGGCAAAAAGACTCACATAATAATTGTCTTGCTTAGCAATGGAAATTTTGGGCACAATTGTGGTCGTAAGTTGAGGACTGCCTCAGGGGTGGGTTCTAATTTTTTTTACTACTGGTTCTGTGGGCGTGGCTTATTTTGTGGGTGTGGCTTTGAGGTCATGTGACTAGGTGGGTGTGGCTAGCTGGTCAGAGTCATTTCTGGAAGGTCCTCGCACTTACGACCCAACTCATTTGTTTGCTTTTAACACTGATCAGCTGTAGAACGGCCCTTTGAAGCCCCGCGGCAAGAGTTTAAACAGTTTTTTTCCCTCTAGTCATCAGCTGGGACTCAGGAGGCAGCAACAGATTGGGGGTGGGACCAAATAAAAGGTAAGAATAACGTGGGTGGGGGGTGGGAGGGCGGGGGGGGAGAACTGGTTCGGTGAGGTCATATCGTCACCGCTACTGGCTCGGCCGAACCGGACCGGACCGGGAGGAACCCACCACTGGACTTCCTGTAACTTATGACCAGCCCTTGCACTTAAAAATGGTTACAGTGTTTCCGTAGTCACCCAGGATCACACGACGGCCATTCACAGTCTTCCCAGACAATTTCTAACAAGCAAAGTCATTGGGGAAAGCAGGATTCACTTAATCATTCTGACAA